AGATTCAGCATAATTGAATCGGATTCAGATAATTTGAATAGGATATTCGGTCGAATTTGAATACCATTTTATTGATCCGATCCAATAAATATTCGAACTGATTATATATATATATATAATTAAAAAAGTTAAAGAAATAAAAAATAATTTCATTGAGAAAATGAGAAGTGAGAACATTCGAAATCCAAGTTTCAACTTTTGAACCTTACCTCTCTCTAGTCTCCACTCTCCATCTTTCAAGTTTCAAACCCTAACCCTCTGTCCCTCCCTTCGCCATCGTCGAACACCACCCAAGCAACCACCACCATCAATCATCGCCCCTCATCCTCTGCTATTCTGTCTATACTCTCTTGTCAATCGTCTCTCATCTTTCCTCTATCTCTCAGTCTCATATTTCGAGTCCCAACTCACTGACCCAGTATCGCCATCGCCCAAGAAACCACCATCATCGATAGCGCTGCAGTCGAGCACCAGTCACCAGCCACTACTGTCTCCATCATTGCTGCTCAAGGCCCTCAACTGTCAAGCATCATCGACCATTGTGCTGCAATAGTCCAGCATCACTGGCCAACACTGCTCACTGCCATCGCATTCGCACCACCAAGAACCCACGACTGCCGTCGTCACACTCACACTTGGCCCACTGTCGGGAACCCATGATCTCCATCTCAATCCCTTGCCTCTTTTCTCACAGTAAATTGGTTTTCATAGATTACAGATTGTGAGATTGAACGTTTATTGGTTTATTGGTTTATGAGCTAGATTTTTCAACTTATTTTCCTATTCTAAATTTCTAATGAGATAAAATAGATTACAGATTTCTGACAGTGATTTAGATAATGATTTATTGGTTTATTGGTTTCTGGTTATGAGCTAGATTTTTTAGCTTAAATGAGATAGAATAGGTTACAGATTTACCAATTGGTTTATTCATTTTCCTATTCTAATGAGATAGAATAGAATAAAGATTTCTGAATTCTGATAGTGGTTTAGATAATGACTTATTGGTTTTTTGTTATGAGCTAGACTTTTCAGCTTAAATGAGATAGAATAGATTACAGATTTAGGAATTGGTTTATTCATTTTCCTATTCTAATGAGATAGAATAGATTAGATATTTCTGACAGTGATTTAGATAATGATTTATTGGTTTATTGGTTTTTGGTTATGAGTTAGATTTTTCAGCTTAAATGTTTATTGGTTTCTAGTTATGATCTAGATAATATCATTCCTAAATGGTTTATTGGTTTATTGATTCTCAATCACAAATGAGAAGATAACTATATAATATCCCTTTTCCCAAATTTTGTGGGGTTTAATTATAAATAAACAAGAAAACTAGAATCACGTATTAGAGGAAAATTAGAAGTTTAGAATCAGTTAAATTTCAAAATTTGTCTATTGTAAAACAATTAGTCGAATCGGATTTGAATATAGTCGGATTCATATTTGAAAAGTCAAGTAAGCGGTCGAATTTGAATTCGAATTGAAATATTTGATATCTGTCGGATATTGAATCGAATTCGAATATTGTTCTTTATAATTGGTTTTGAGTTCAAATATAGCTTGATTCAATTCGAATTCAATATGTTTACATGCCTAATGGTGGCTGAAAAAGTTTTTTTAGTAGTTGGGTTTTATTTTGAAAATTTGAGAAACATTGCAGGGTAAATTTGATATTTTATTACGATTTAATGATGTCAACAATTGTCAGAAACAATATGAATACTTTTAGACAACACTAAAATAGTAGGGCTATAGTTAGCCAATTTCCTAAACCTTAGGGGTAAATTGAGAAAATTTGCCCATCTGATTATATTGTAATATTTATTGGTTTTAATATATAAAATTTATATAAATTATATTCAAAATAACAAAAATCTATTTTTATAAATTATATTATATATGAATATATATAATGAATTCAATATGTTATATTTATATTAATTTATTATGTATAAAAGTTGAAAAATAATTAACGTTTTATTTTTTTTATTTTATAAATGAATGCAGAGTCGAATTAAAACCAAATCCGATTGGATTTCATACTGGATTGAAATACAAGTTTTCAATAGCGCATCAGGTTTGGATTCAAGCTTTCAATAATTGGATTGGATTTGGATTTTTCTCAATCCAATTTGAATCTAATTCATTTATAGCTCTACAAGTAGAGGGCTCTCTAATATACAACATTCATTAAGAAGTCCAACCTTTTAAGGTATAATATGAGTAGGTTTAGTGAGAGGTTGAGAGTTGTAAACAAGTGACAAAAGAAAATTGCTTGTCAAGCTTCCTAATTTTCTTAAAGTACAATGTGCATTTCTTTTAATATTTTTAAAAATGGTGTCATTTCCACCTTCATATGGGATATTAGATCTTGTTTTCTCTCTATTTAAGGTATCGGATATTAGATATTGTTTTCTCTCTATTTAAGGTATTTTTTTTCTCATAAATAAACTATATCAATTAGATCTATATCCAATAATTTTAATAATATAAAACTCATTTTTAAAAACAATGACCCAAAAACGAAATCTTCTTTTGTTCATGTGGCAAGTAAGCAATTCAACAATATTCAACCATACAAGTCAGATGGATCAACCCATGATGCCATTATTATTACCATTATCATCATTTAAAATTGTCACGTGCAAAGCACATGCACACTTACAATATCATTAAAGAGGACATGGTGAGAAAAACAGCTAAAAAAAAGAAAGGAAAAGTGAGATCCTTAATGGATGAAAGCAAAGAGTGAGATGATATTGAATACTTTATTTTTATTTAATTATTTTACCCACAAAAAAAACAATGGATTATTAAATTCAGCTTTACCCATACCATTACCAAACGGCCCTTAAAGCAGACCCGCTACTGCCAGCTGGTTGAACCGTTGAACCAAAACAAACGATATAGGGACCAAGCATGACTGCACGAGTCATTGCATGAATCATGGAACAAGTGTCAAATAATATAAGCATGTTCTCTTTGTCCAACGAGGGTGAAGGCACCTTAGACATTCTGGGTCAATGTCGATGGCTAAAAGTATCTATCCCCAACGAATTGGAATCTGCTCAACACACGCGCGCCTATGGGAGAAATTCCCGATGTACGGACAGGAGATGCTGTAACCGTCTGTAAAGTCGGTATGAGGCGCGCTTTTTTACTACATGAATTTTTTTATATATATAACGGATTGGTTGAATTATCGAATTATCAAGTTGCCACGTGGAGGCACCGCAAGTGGCTCCCACTTGTATGTTAGTAGTAGATCGGGTAATGGGTTCGTCAAAGGAATCTGAGAACGTGTAACTTTACCGGCAGGAACGGTACCAGGTCCACTGCAATTGGTGGGGTCCTTTTACAGGTTGTACGTGAAACATTCTCGTTAGAGGATTGGATGTAGCCTGGAGGATTGTTCTTGCCCGGGCCTCGGGTCAAGGACAGTGAGAGTCGGGGTCAACGACAGGGGCTAATTTAGCAAATGAATATTTAATAAATAATATTTTGATTTGATAATGAGAGAATAATAACTAGACACTGGTAAGCGGTAACTAGAGAAATTAACAATTGAAAATCTCGGCCTGTGATTGAGCCAGTCCGTGGTCCGTGGACGGGTCGACCGGTTTATTGGCTGCTATCCACGAAGCTGATGTTTTTCATTCAGCTCCGTTTGGAAAGAGAAAAAATACAAATGCAATTATTTTTCTTGAACCGTACCTATTTGTTTGAATTATTTTCAGATGGAGCCTATTTGTTTGTTTGAATTCAATTTTACTTAATTATATATGATTATACATTTATGTTGCGTTTGATTGCTGTGCAATTTTTTTTTGTATTAGTACAAATGCATGAGAGTGCAAATGAAAAAATACAAATTATCATTTAATTTTGTTTTGGGTTTTACTTTATTCTGTTTCACGTCTTAATTTACTTCTTTTATACTGCAATATTCAAACAAAACGAGTTAAAATTTGAAACAAAAAATAAGTCAGAATTTACACTCAAATCATTTGCAATGTCATAGTTTTACATCAGTGCAAATATATTTGTGTTGCAATCAAATACAGCCTTAGGCTTAGTTTGGAAGGAGTACAAATACAAATGTACAAAGTGCAAAACCTTGTATTTTTTATTATTTTGTATGCATTCGCATTGTATATATTTGTATTTATATTCCTTTCAAATTGAGCCTTAAAATTTATATTCTTTTTTGTGTAAAATCACGTGATATGTATGTGTGCATGTAAATATTAACTATATATCTATGCATCCCAACATAAATATTCACTTTATATAGTATAAAATTATTAGTAAAATGTTTTAAATATTGTGTTTTTATAAAATAGAAATTATTTGGTGATATTTATCAAAATTCACTTGGATTTTGATTGGTCAAAGCCGTAGTATGATGTCCTTTTTCATTAATATACAGTATAAAAAATTTTTAATTTATTTTATTAATGATATATAATATTTTGATTATCATTTAAATTAATTTTGTTTGAAATGCGTTTTTTAAATTAATTTGTTAATACAATTCAATATCTACAATATCCTTTTGCAATGCGAATCCGATATAAATCCGACGTGTAAGATTCGATGCGAATCCAAATATATAAAGGAATCAAATTTCAATCTATCTGAATCAGATTCTATTCAAAGATCCGTTTGGACAAGTGGAACGTAAACGGTAGACGGCATGGGGGAACAGAGTTCGAAGCTCTGCAGTTCTACTCGTAATAGAGGGCCAATCACGACACACCATGTCAGGGCCAGATGTCCTCGGCTCGCGTAGAGGATTCGCACTGTAGGGAATGTATCTACGAACTTACGAAGCATCTTAAAATATTGTAATGATTGGTGGAACCCACAGAGGTCTTCGTTCCTGGAAGCGAAGAGACACGTGCGAATCCCGTTGCCCGAGGTCTCCCGCGTGTGTAAGTACAGAGAGAGAGAGAGAGAGAGAGAGAGAGAGAGAGAGAGAGAGAGAAGGCTGTTTCGTTTAGTTGTGTTTGACAAGAAAAAGAAGCTTTTTCTTCAGATGGGGGAACAAAGCCGAAGACGAGTTCTCTTCTTATTCTTTTAAGAAATCATCGTCCATCGAGGGGTTCGATTGTTTTTTTTCTCTCTTTCTCTTTCTCTTTTGGAATTCAAACAAAGCTATGAATCTGAGGTTCTGAACTGCAAATAGAAAAAACTTTCTGATTTTCTTATCTTAATCGATGGAACAGCTTGTCAACTTCATCATTCGCCCTCCGAGGTAACTGCTCAACCTTGAATTTTCTCGTTTTTTTGCTACACTCAGTAAACCTTTCTGGTAGTGTGTTTTGTTTCTACATGAGTTTGATATAGCTTGTTTATGGGTTTCGTTGTTTGTTTTAGATTATTTCCTTTTTGGTTTAGTAGGTACCATGAAGGTGAACTTTAACCGTATTTGCTTTAATTTTCGTTGTTTAATTGGTAA